CCTTGGATGAGGCTGGAGGCTTCCTCCAACTCACGTAGCTACAGGGGCTGGCAAACCCAAGATGGGCAGGTCAAACAGCAGGGCTCTGACTCACAGGCTGTGGAGACCAACGAACCCCAAGATGGGCAGGTAAGATGGCAGGTAAGCTGCTAGCTCAAGTCCCAAGAACCGGTGGTCAGATGACAAGGAGCCAGCTCCAGGATCCAGAGCTAGCAAAAGCCCACGAGCCTTGCCAGAATGTTCACTTATATTCAATGCAGACCACACCCCCAAGGAAACTCCCTTTCAACTGACTGGCTACTCAGACTAGGTCCCATCATGGAGGTGATCACATTATATCAGATCTCATCATGGAAGTGATTACATCATTATACAACTGCCAAACTACATCATAACTGCCAAACCACTGAGAATCCATGGCCCAGCTAAGCCGATAGAAAACCTTCAGGATCACAAGAGTATATAAAATACCATAAAATTCACTTATTTTAAGTGAACAGTTTAATTGATTTTAGTAAATTTATACAGTTGTGCAACCATCACCACAATCCAGTTTAAGAATACTAATATCACTCTGAGAAATTCCCTGGTGATCTTTGCAGTCAATCAATCCCTGCTCCCAATCTCTGGCCCCAGGCAACCTCTAACCTACTTTCTATCTCCATAATTTTGTCTTTTCTAGAAATTTTATATAAATGGAATCATACAATATATATAGTCTTTTGTACCTGGCTTAGCATGAGTTTTTTGAGATTCATCCATGTTGTTACATACAGCAATAGTTCATATCTTTTTATTGATTAGTATTCCATTGTATGGCTACACCACATTTTATTTATCCATTCACCAGTTGACAAATATTTTGTTTGCTTTCAGTTTCGTTTTTGACTATTATGAATAAGACTGCTATCAAGACTCACATCAAGTCTTTTTGTGGGAGTGGAATTACTGGGTCAGATAGAAAGTGTATGCTGAACTTTTTAAAAAACTGACAAATTTCTTCCCAAGTGGCCATACTATTTTACATTCCAATCAGCAGTGTATGAGGTTTCCAGTTTCTCCACATCCTTGCCATTACTTGGTACTACTGGTCTTCTTAATTTTAGCCATTCTAGTGGGTGGGTAGTGGTACCAAGTTGTAGTTTTAATTTGCATTTCCCTAATGACAAATCACGTTGCTCATCTTTTCATGTACTTACTTGCTATTCCTATTTCTCCTTTGGCAAAGTGTCCATTCACATCTTTTGCTCACTTTTAACTGGGTTGTTGTCTTCTTATTAGAGTTGGAGCATTCTTTATATATTCTTGCAACAAATTCTTTGTTAGATACCTACTTTGCAAATATTTGCTTCCAGTCTGTTGCTTGCCTTTTCATTTTCTTAATGGTGTCTTGTAAAGTGCAAACATTTTTAACTTCGATGACATCCAATTTATTTTTTCTTTAATGTCTGTAGCTTTTGTGTCACATCTAATAAATCTTTCTTTACCTCAAGATTGCATGATTTTCCGCTTTTCAAAAATTTTGTAGTTTTAAGCTTATACATTTAAGTTTATGATCGATTTTCAGTTAATTTTTTTGTAGGGAGTGAAGTAAGGGTACAGGGTTATTATTTTGCACATAGAAATCTAATTATTCCAGCACCGTTATATAAAAAAAAAAAAACCTTTCTCTATTTCTTTGACACCTTTGATAGAAATCAAATGACAATAATATATATGGAGGTCTCTTTCCGGACTATCTCTATGTCGTTGATCTATGCAACTACCCTTATGCTAATATCACACTTTCTGGATTACTGTAGTTTTATAGTGACTTTTGAAATCAGCTTTGTTCTTTTTTACTCACATTGTTGAAGCTATTCTAGGCCCTTTGCATTTCCATATAAATTTCAGAATCAGTTTGTCAACTTCTACTTAAAAATAGCCCACTAGGGTTTCGATAGAGATTATGTTGAATCCGCAGATCAGTTTGGAAGAGTTACCATCTTAACAACATCCAGTCTTGCAATCCACAAACATGGTCTGTGTTGCATTTATTTAGTTCTTCTTTTATTTCTCTCAGCAACATTTTGTAGTTTTCAGTGTACAGCTCTCGCAGTTGTTATGTCAAATTTATTCTTAAATATTTTATTCTTTTTCATATTATTGCAAATGGAATTGATCTTTTTTTAAATTTCATTTTCAGATTGTCCATGCTAGCATACAGAAATATAATTGACTTTTGTACATTTATCTTGTATTCTGTAACTGTGCTAAACTCACTGATGTTCTACTAGCTTTTCTGTAGATTCCTTAGGATTTTCTAACTACGAAGATCACATTGTCTGTGAATAAAGACTGTTTTACGCCTTCTTTCCAATCCCTATGTCTTTAACTTCTGTTCTTACCTTACGGCCCCTGACTTTTGCATTTGAATTGTTAGCAAACTTTTCTTTAGTACATTGTACATTGACATCCCTTTCATGAATGCTGAAATAAGACTTTTGTATATCCTTCACTCTGATGAATGACCACTTTTAACTAGCACATAATACCACTGCCTATCAGCTGGAAATTTGGTTTCAGTAGCACTACCATCTTTGTTTATAAAATTGCATTTGGCCAATTATTTCAAAAATTTTAATTGCATTTTGCACTCATCATTTAGGAAAAAAGGAACAGAAAATAGGAAAAAGAAAGCGCTGCTATCAGTAATAAGCATAGGTCTCATAAACTTAGTAACAATTGAAACAAAGATGAAAATCATTAGACGTGCTGACAGTGGCAATTCTTTAGCCTCAATTAGTTACTCACTGCACTTAATAAGCTGGTCTACCATTAGAAAGAATAAAATTAAAGAACATAATATGACACAGTGGAAATTAACATCAATGACTGTGTCTAAAATACAAGGTGTAATCAGTGATTTTATAATATATTTTTCATCTTAAGGAACGTAACTGTCTTTATGATAGGTACAACTATCATTATACTTGAGGAAAATTGAATTTCATAAATATTCTGAGGAACACAGTGGGTCTCAAAGTGGGGGAAATAGCAGGACTTCATCTAATCCTTACAAACCTTTTGAGGAAGGTATAAAAATTTCATTTACAATTCAGAAAACAGGCAGAGACATTTAAGTAACTTGCTACAAGTCTGTACCGTAAGTAGTGGAGACAAGATTCAAACCCAGGTCTGTTTGTTTCCAAAGATCTAAATTTGGGCATCTTTTTTTGCTGAGGAATCCATTTCCCTGGCCCATATCCCATAGCCTCAGCCTTCTACCCCCTGGTCGGGAAGATTCCAGTTCCATGTCTCCTACTAACATCCTCTCTCTTGCCCCAGTGACTCCCAAGCTAAGGTGCAACAACAAAGGAAGAATTTATCTTCCTGATTTGCTCTTCCCCAAAATATGAGACTGAAGGCTTGAACACTGTAATAAAACAGGTCTGAGGTGGTTATGTGAAGAAGATATGTGTGAGTAAATGTGAATGCCTGGTTTTGAAATGGATGAGTGGTTTTCCTTTGAGTATGGGAAAGAAATGCCCAGGACTTTTGAATAAGAAAAGAAATTAAAGTTCTTATGTGAGGCTAATTCAGGCGTTTCCTCTCTGCTTTCACTTTTTGGGTAGACACATTAGAAAATGAATGAATTCCAAGGCAGAAAAGTAACAATAAAACCATTAAATTGAGGACAGGTAAAGCTTAGCCTCCTCTCTCTTTACCTCATGGAAAAATGCTAACTCCGGGTGCAGAGGATTCAGACTAAAATCTTTATAACTTGGGTTTGTAGGGCCAGAAAAGAGCCACATTTCCACTGACGAAAATACAAAACAAGGAAAAAGAGAACACTATCAGAAGTGCTTCTCATTGTGCTTTAAGTAAACACTCAATAGATGTTTTGGATTTGTTGGTTAATTAAAAAACATTTTGATAGGTTCTTTTCATGAAATAAATACTAATCAGAGCTCCCACTGCACTCCGGGCAATGCACAAAACCAGAAATGAGGGTTTCTGTTCATGATGTACAAAGTAAGATAAGTTTTCTGCAGAATGAGGAAGTCATCCTTTATAATTTTACCCTCCCTAAATAAAACATACATTTTACAGTCCTTATAATATTCAGACATTCACAGTGATGCCTCTGAAAATCTTTGTAGTCAGCAACGTATTAGAAACAACCTACATGATTGAGGGACATGGTGGCACATCCATCTGATAGATTAGGGGTTGGCAAACTATGGGTTCACGGACTGTTGCCTATTTTTGTAAATAAAGTTTTATTGGAACACAGCCATTCGCATTTATTTATGTATTATCTGTGGCTGCTTTCTTGCTACAAAGGTGGAGATGAGTGGTTGCCATGGAGACCATATGCCCTGCAAAGCCTAAAATATTTACTATCTCGCCCTTTACAGAAAAAGTCTGCTAACCCTTATGATAAAATCAAACCAAACCTGTAGCCATTGAGTTGATTCTGACTCATAGCGACCCTACAGGACACAGCAGAACTGCCTCATAGGGTTTCTAAGGAGCAGCTGGTGGATTTGAACTGCCAACCTTTTGGTTAGCAGCCGTAGCTCGCCATAGCTCTTAACCACTATGCCACCAGGGCTCCAACCCTTATGATAATACATTTTAAATGACATGGGAAAATACCCATTAGGATGCTAAGTGAAAAAAAGCAATGTATACATAATATTTCATGTATAGCATAATCACAACTATGTAAAACAAAGGAAAATGGGCATAGAAAACAGGACAAAAAGATCAAGCAGCTGGATTTGGGTGGTGAAATCGTGGGTGGTTTTCATTCTCCCCCCTCTATGTTTTCCAATTTTCTACAATGACCTCATATTTCTTTTATAATAAACAAAACTAAACTTCACTTTACAAATTAGTTTACTTCATGTCCATCTTGTACACAGTAAATGTGACTAAATTCTGGCTCTCTCTCCCTACTCGGCCCCTCCCCACAGGTATGCTGAGGACAGGAGGCAGGAAGTCCGGGCCAGTACCTTATGCTCATCGCGAAGGTGGCTGTCCAGTTCCTCCGTGTGCTTGGTCTCATAGTAGCAGAGCTGGCATTTGTAAGGTTTCAGTTCATTGTGCTTTTCTATGTGTTGCTGGAGGCTCTCGTCACTGGAGCAGGTGAAGGTACACTTATCACAGCGGAAAACTACTCCCTGCAAGTATTTTGACAGTTTGGAACGGCACACTTCAATGGGGACAACTCTCTCTTCTGTGGAAACAAATTGAATGGAAAAATGGGAATTTTTACTTATGGTATGCAGACAGTCTTTCTTTGGAATATAAGAATAAATTCACATATTCAATTCTGCTACTTCTCACACGTCTGGGTTCTGGAGCTACACACACATGGACACTGTTCCTCCCCATAACTTCCAAACCAACATATTCCTCTGCTGGTTGTTCTTAGGTGCCGTCGAGTCAGTTCCAACTATTACCAAAGCTCTTTGTGTACTTAATACCTAGAACAACCTACAAATAGACGTGGGGCAGGCTGCAAGGTCCTGGTTAAGTCCTGAATAAAACAAAACAAACAGCTGTTGTTTAGTCGACTTCGACTCATGGCAACCCTGTACGTGTCAGAGCAGAATTGTACCCCATAGGGTTTGCAATGGCTGATTTTTCGGTAGTAGATCACCAGGCCTTTTGGTAGGCAGCCACTCGAGTGAATCGTCTGCACCACCCAGAGCCTCCTGAAGACGAGTAATTAAGGTAGGGAAGAGGAATGGAAGCAGTTGCTATTTTTACCAGCAAAACCAAAAACCAAACCCATTGCCGACAAGTCAATTCCGACTCACAGCAACCCTAAAGGACAGAGTAGACCTGCCCCACAGGGTTTCCAAGGAGTGGCTGGTGGATTCGACCTTTTGGTTAGCAGCCAAGCTCTTCATCACTGTGCCACCAGGGCTCCGTTTCTACCACATTACTCATTACTAACAACAGTTATTTGCACATCCTACTCCCTCAGCAAGTATTATTTAGGCAAGACTTAGGGGTGTCATTAAGGGGGAAGGAATCCAACATTAGCTGAGCACCTATGTGCCACCACTGTACTGACGCCTTCCTACCAACAACTCTATGTGGCAGGAGTTACTCTTATCTTACAAATTAGTAAACTGAGGAACAGAACCCCTAAGTAACTCTGCAAAGGTCAAAGGTATTGTGTTGGCAGAGTTAAGATCTGAATCCATGTCTTTCTAGCTGTAAATCCACTTATTTTTTTCCAGTTTCAGTAGAGTCGGTTCTGACTCACGGTGACCCCATGTATTTCAGAATAGAACTGTGCTCCATAGAGCTTTCAACAGCTAATTTTCCAGAAGTAGACTGCCATGCCTTTCTTCCGAGGAGCCTCTGGGTGGACTCACACTGCCAACCTTTCAGTTAGTAGCCAAGTCATCAACCATTGACACTGCCCACGGATTCTGTAAGTCCACTATTTCCCACCATTTTCAATTCCATTGCTGCTTCCCCTTCCAAGATGTTCTTAGGAAAACCGTTCCCGTTTCCTGACACCAAGGGAATCTCTACTCTAATATCAAACCTGAAAACAAACCCGCCCACTTTCATTCACTAAAAACTCCACCTTCAACTATGAAGAGCTCTCAAATGAAATGGCTGCAGAGAACATTCAGGGGAATGTGGGAGTGGGGCAGGCGACCTGGAGGATTTTGCCTTTTCAGACAATCTGTAATCTGACTGTCAGAAGTGAAAAAATAAAAGTGACAGAGGATTTGGGTGCTCCCCCTGTCGGTGTACCAAATGCTGTAAGGCTGGAAATGCGTGTGCTTGTTTATTTTGCACTCCCTCACCCTTGTGTTTAACTGCTCAAATTAAATTTCACACCAGCCTGCCCAGAGTATCGGCGCACGCGCCAGATATCCACAACTGGGATAAAACTAAAATCTGTGCTATTTATGTAAGGATCAAATATAGCGTGCGTTTTCACGCTGTGTCCGGATTTCAGAAGACTCTGAAAGTTTACAAATGGACACACACCCATATATTTCTATTATTTAGAAATAGCAATACATTATTAAGTCAAGAAAGCACGATTTATCCTTAGAGTAACTGCGCAGGGATGCTTCCGGGGCGTAAGAATTCTGTGCACCAATGTGACCCACTCAGCGTTGAGTTCTCCTTCTGTTGTTGCCTGTGTTTAGTCCATGCAGAATGTTCCCCACCCAATGTCATGCGTTAGTCTCAACCTCTACATTCTAGCTGTAGGGCAATCACTGCCTTGGGAGCCCTTGAACGCAGTGATTATTTGGCCAACAAAATGCTGGACAGAGGAAGGGTTGAAGGTGGTGCCGGCAGCATACTCCCTGGAGCCCTAAGGCATATGTTATTCTCCCTAAACAAACAGCCAGTTGCTTATTTGCAAATACAAATATTTTTAAACTGATGTATAGCAGACAGCTAAGAAACATAATTATAATGTAATCTACACATTTTCTTAGAATAGCAAATGTTTAAGTCTTCTAACCATTTAGTTCCGTAGTTTGGTGTAAAAAGACGAAAAAATGCTTTGGCTTAAACTAGAGTCGTTAGAAGCCTTTCCTTGGATACTCTACTCCTCTAACTCAGGGTTTCCCAACAGTAGCACTAAGGCATTTGGGGCTGGATAATTCTTTGTTGTAGGGGCTTGTGTACTGTGGGATAATTATCAGCATTCCTGGCTTCTGCAAAATCAACCCCCCAGCCCCTCAGTGGAGAACAACCACTCTAAATGAAGCGCCTGGCACTAACTCTAGTTGCTCTGGGTAAGGCAACCATGTAAATGACTTGTGAGCAGGCTGGTGCCCGTGCAAGAGATGGGGACACCCCCACACTAACAATTACGCCTTTACGCTCGGGACTTTGTGGGAAGTGTTGACACGAACTTTTCTGGCATCTTCCTTGAGAATCCAATCTCCTTGCCCTGTGTTTGTTCCCGATTTACACCTTGCCATCTCTACAGCCTTCACTTGTGCTCTCTGGTGCTGGCTTGTCCTGTCTGCCCTGGTTCTGCCAGATCGCAGTAGAGATGGAGAATAGCTGGGTATAATTTTCCATACCATGATGCCTCAAACACCTTGAAGACAGTCACCCAGTCACCCTCCAGCCTTCACTTCTCCACAGTACATAATTGGCTCTTTCACATTTTTTTAACAGGTCTCCTTTTCAATTCCTCTACCACTTTAGCTTTCTTTGCAGTTTCCAATTCACTATGTGTGTCTAAGTGAATTTTATACAAGTCATGAGCACTCCGAATAATACCCTGGAGTTTGAATAATAATAATTAATGTAAACAACCACTACAATTTATTAAGTGCTCTCTATGTTTCAAGCACTGTTAGGTGTTCAACCCTCACTGCTACTTTTTATCCTTTAAAACCCTGCAAAGTCAGTTTTATTAACTCCAGTTTATTTATGTAGAAACTGAGAACTGATGAACTAAGCTACTTCCTCAAAGTTACACCTCTCGTTCAGTACAAAGCTGAGAGCTGGGAGCACAGGTCCTCTGAGCTCAGCCAGCCCCCTCCTCCTCCCCTGAAAAAGTACTTGCAGGAAATACCCATTCTGGACACAGCACACCTACAAGCCTTTTATTCCTAATATTTTAAAAATACAAAAGGTATAGCTTTCTAAGGTAATCATTTACACGTGATTTATGTTTCCAATATCTTTCGGGTTGGTAAGAGCTAAATTCCCTGCTTACTTACTCTGAAATATAAGACTGCTCATTTCCACTCTAAGACATTACCAATTTACCAATTTTCTTGCTAAATGGATTTTTATTACGATATTAACTTTAGACAGAAGTTTACTTTTTCTTCTTTCTAAAAACATGGCTAAAATGACCAAGATAAAAAACAAGACAGACTTTTCAAGGCAGGCAAGTAACTGACAGTGTTTTCTGAATGAGGTTATTCATTACCGAGGCAAGTGAAGAACATAAAGTTAAAGACTGGAATGTTCCAAGGTATGGACTGAACCCTGCCTTGGCTCCAGAAGCTCAATCCTTGGGTCTTTTTTTTTCTAAGGGGGCAGCGACAACTGTAGGTCTTTCTTGACTTCACACCTTTCAAAATTAGCTTGGGTGAGAAATCAAGGCCTGAATCACTCATTGTGGCCTAGCTTCCAGCACTGGCTGTAAAAACAGTATGACTTCACCAGTAAGACTACAAGATGAATTGTGTCTCTCACCTCCTCCTACTCGAAAGATGCTTGGTGCTGCAGGCGGACACAAAACCCAAGAGGCTGGATGGACCCCAGGGTAATGCCACCCCAAAGCATGCTTGTAGTAAGGCACAACAGGAGCCAAGAGGTGTGTGCCGTCAAGCTCCTGTGGAAACATCTGCGGAGCTGCAACTACAGGGGGGTCACTTCTGCTCCAATTAGTAAAAAACCACATCACTGTACAGTCCAGAATTACCAAGTACAAATTCTTCCTGAAAGGCAGACCACAATATACACGGGTTTCCGCCCCAGAACGTGCCAAGTCTAAATGAAGCAGGGAGAGATTTGGAACCCATTCACTCCAACAAACGCTGTATGCAAATTACCATTCTAGAGGACTCAGATGCTGCTGGGGCCAAACCAAAGACCCACCTATTTATTACTCACCCTCTGCCAAACAAGTGACAAAGACTGAGGACTAGAAAGCTATTAAGAAAATAACATTATCAAAAACAACTATCCCCAAACCTACCCACAAAATAGATACCTGTGAACATAAACAAAACAGCTTCTGGTATGAAGTATTACAGTTTGATGGTAGCCAGGCTTCCCCCTCAACCTACAGGGAGTTGGGAACAGCACTTCAAATTCTAACAGGCAAAAGTATTTGGTGGGAATGGAAGGGAACTTTACTTTCATCGAATAAATAAAGGTTAGGAATCTCACTGTAAATTTTTTTCTCAAGAAAATGATGCTGATCAGAAAAATTGGGGAGATTAGTTCCATTCCTTGGAATGATGCAAATGGTTGAGTGCTTGGCTGCTAACTGAAGGGTTGGTGGTTTCAGTCTACCCAGAGGCACCTTGGAAGAAAGGCCTGGTGATCTACTTCCATGTAATCAGACATCAAAATCGCTATGGAGACAGTTCCACTCTGACACATATGGGGTCACCATGGGGTGGGATGGACTTGACGGCGACTGGTTTAGCTGCATTCCAGAAGGATGATCACCTGTAGAGTTCAGTTAAATTTAGCATTTGTCTACATATTGAG